ACTCTTCATACCTTGAGGAATTCAACTCAGGGGCAAGTTATGTTTATTTTCAAGTTGATAAAGAAGTGATTTTAGCTCATTTCTGCTCTGTCTCTACAAATGAGAGCAAAAAGATTGGTAATGTTCCCATGCAGATATCTTAGAAAACTAAAGTAAAAGACTGTATTGTCAAACCAGTTCAAAAGAAAGTCAGTTGAAAATCGATGCTACAGCCACTTTGGAAAACACTTTGTCAGTACCTACTAAAAGCTGAACATTTTCATGCTCTGTGACCCACCATTTCCACTCCTGCATATTGTAATCAACATGAATGTATACATATGTGCTTCAAAGATATGTACAAGAATATTCACAGCATCACCATTCTTAATAGCCATAAAACTGGGGTAGTGAGCCAGTTTTTAAATGCCCATCATCCATAGAATGGATAAATTGGTTGTGGTATATTCATTCAGTGGAATATTTCACAGCAATGAGAATAAGCCAACTACTGCTACACAAGACAGTGTGGATGAATCTCACAAACACAATGTTGAGAAAACCAAACAGAAAAGAATACAAGCTATATGATTTTATGCACATACAATTTTTAAAGGCAAATCTATTATTATCCTTGTGGGGAAGATGGGGAATAGGTGGGAGGGAATCAAGGGGCATCTCTGAGTGCTGGTAATGTTCACTTTGTGCATCGAGCTATATGCTTAGTATTTTTGCACTTTTTATGTGTATATTCAGTAAAAACAAAAACATCCAAAATGCAAGTCAGGTATAATACCTCCTTATATTTTATATAATAGAAAATATATCCTACCCTAATCTTGAAATAACTTGGTTGAATAAGCAAGAATCTTCCTCAGATATTATTCTCATGAAAACTTCTTGGGCTATTTTGGTTAATGTGAATTGCTTGATCTTGAGCCAGGTTGGAGAAATCAAGAGTCCATGGTTCTAAAAGTATCTCCAATACAGGTAATATGTAGCACAGCAGTTCTCATCTCAGACTGCCCACTAGAACTATCCAGAAGCCCTTTAATATACCCCTATCCAGCACTCCACCCTACATTCTCAGTTAGTTGTTCTGGGGCTGAGATCTGAGCATCAATATTATTATTATTATTTTTTAAAGCTATCAAGATGAGTCTGATGTGCAGCCAGGTGAGGGACCACTGATATAGAGCCACATCAGAAATCTTAGGAGAGAGGCTAGATAATATTGAAAAATGTAAACAGGACTACCTTTTCATCATAAAGTACTTTGACTTGGGGAGAGAATGAAGTTTGCATTGTTTCCAATCTAATCTGATTACAGGGTTCAAAAAGAATACATCAGAAACAGTGGCATTAAAACATTTTCCTTTTCCCTTCATTTCTTCCGCAATAATTGCCAAGTGCCTCCCCTGTGCCAGGTATCAAAGCAGAATTCCTTCCTTACCCCCCTATGTGTGTGCGGGCGTGTGAGTGCACCTATGGCCTACACTTATTACTCTGGTAACACTCCAAGTAACTAACTTGAATGCAGAGCGTGATACATGCAGTAGCTATTTCAGCTCAGTATTGTCCTTACTAAATCACAATCGGCCACTTTGGTACATGATGTTCTAACTATAAAGGAAGACTGAAAGAAGCCTAGGCACTGTGTTGAGTGCAATTTTCAAGGAAAGAGCAAGAAATCGAACATTTTAAACCAATAAGTGAAAGCTAGAGAGAGAAAGAAATGTTAAAATATCATCTTATTTTCTTGAAGTATTTTCCATCCAATCTTGTACAGTCAAAATGAGCATTTAAGTGTGAGAAAAAAAAACTGCTGAAGATCTCAGAAAAGACTAGAGGGTGTCAGGTTTCTTGATTAGAAGAATTTATCATCAAAGGCAAAAGAGAAAAGATGGTAAAGATTTTTAAAAAATCCAAGTGATCGCAAATTAGTGGTGCAAAATCAAGAAAACAAAAGTAGGTGTTATTCTTGTTCGTTTAAACTATGGTTTTCTCTGTTTCATGTGTGTTCTTTAAAACCACTTAATTGTATTTGACATTGAAAATCTGATAGGGCCTTTTGTTTTCAACCAGTTTACTAATTGCAAAATATGTCAGGAATCAAAAGGGCAGGAGGTGTTGGTATATTTTTTTTTTAATATATAACTCCTTTTTAATTTTTTTTCCCTATTTTCCTTATCCATTTAGGCAGTGACTTTCAATTAGCCTCCCTACTAATATCAGGTCACTAAACTCCGTGGCTGACGCTTTATTCCTTCATGTGGGTTGTCACTCGTTTGCTTCAGTTGGCTGGCAAAGGTTGTTGTATATCCATTACCAGCAACACAGCACTTTGCATTTCTGAATTGACAAGCAGCTATATTGACCCAGCGCTTATTATGGGTCAACAGCTGCGTTAACCAACGGAAGGACTGAGGGGCAATTAAAATGAATTGGCAAAAATATATCTTCCTAATTTACTCCAATTTGTTATTTATGCTAACATTGTATGGCTTCTATGGTGACACTAAACAGAATGGACCCAATAATGGCAATTAACATAAAAATATAATGGCTAATCAAATTGACAGCAACTGTTTCTCATCATCTCGACACACAATACATTATCAAAACAAACTATTATGAAGGAGGTAATTTCAGTGTTCTATTCAACCTGCAGCATGTGTGCAGTCAGGGAGATGTGTACCAGCAATTACTGCTGAATCTAAAAAACTAAACAAATAACTTAATCGCTGTCGTCCTCCTTTTTTTTTCCCCCCAGGAAGCAGTAATCAGGATTCGCTAAAAATAACTGGTATATAATAGTATAATGATGATGCATATTGTAGAATAGCTAATAAGAAATAAAATAGGCTTCTAGGTGTATACTTTTTAAAATAGGTTCAGGTAAAGAAAGAGAGACTTGTGGAACAAATGCACACAAAAAAAGACAATAGCCCTGACTGATTAGTGAATAGCTCCATGTGGGTTTATTCCTGCAGCCCAATATTTATAGATACCATTTGTAATGGCCAAAGAAGTTTAAAATACACTAAATTTAGTAACAGATTTTGTAATGGAGTAAGCAGAAAGGTGAATCATGAGCTCTAATAACTGAATTTTAGTTACTTCTGCACCAAATTGAGTTGACTATAGTTTTTCATCATTGAGAGCCGACTAGGATCCTGGGATCTAATACTTGGTTACTCAAAGAGATTCCCTTCAAAAATAGTGCTGTGTCCACATCCAGTTGTGGATAGTGGTTTTCCTTAAGTTCCTAGTCACGTGCTAGTCTGTGTGTGCCACCTGGCCCTGCTTGTATAGATTGTACAAATGACTTGGCTATTGTAGTCATTCATTGATTCATTCAACCAGCATCTATAGAGAGCTTACTATGTGAGTTAGTTGTATATCCGTAGTCAGCAATGTCAGACCTGGCGCACAGTAGGTGCTCAGTCAATGTTGGTTAAATCGTGTATTATTTCAGGGCAGCAAGAGAGAATTGGTAATGTGTTTGTCATTTGAGCTTCTCACTTGAGAAGTTTTAAGGGTTTAGTTGTTTCACCTTGGTAGGACACCTCCCCCTTAAAGAAAACAACAAAGCTCTAGCTCATTTTTCTCCAGCTTGAGGGTTTCCCAAGTATTTAACCCCATACAGGGGTCCTCAAACTTTTTAAACGGGACCAGTTCACTGTCCCTCAGACCGTTGGAGAGTGCGCACTCTGGGTCCAGGATGAGTCGGCTACTAAGCTGGACAGGCAGCGGCAGCAAAAACACCTGGAGGGCCAGATAAATGTGCTAGGCGGCCCTCAGGCAGTAGTTTGAGGACTCCTGTCATAGGAAGATAGGAAAAAAATGCCTAGGGCAGTTGATTTAAAATATAAAGTACATTTGACACTATGGCGCTCACATGGTAGTAATATTCTCCAGGGATTAGGGGGTTGGGAGGTGGTAAACTCACAACTAAAGGACACGGTGAGCATTGTGGAGGGGAAGGGCATGCCTGTAACCCTTGCTAGGGAGAGGCAAAGACATAAAATGTAACCAAAATGTTTGTACCCTCATAATACCCTGAAATAAAAAAAAAGAAGGAAAAAAATTCACTTTCTATGTCTCAAACCTCACTATCATTTGAAATTCTTGTAATTATTATATATCATTTTTGTAATAAATGAAAAAAAAGTACATTTGAATGTGATTCACCAAATAATTCTCTTGTTGGTTATTAAATTGACTACATGTGTGTTTTCCCTATACAGAGTGAGACATAGTTACTCAGAATACACAGTGACTCTAAATAACCTCAGGAACATTAGTGTTCAGTATATGTTTGTTGATTAAATAATAGTTCAGACACATCTCTTACATTTTGTTGAATTAGAACTTGCCAGAGTCATTAAACGTGTGTTTTGATATGGGTGGGATGAAAAACCTTGGTTATTTCATTTCACCTGGTACTTTACAGATGTCAGATGTTATCCATTGGTCATTAACATAGAGTAAGTGGTCACAATGTTACTGGAGTCCATGCTTAATTTGTTGTGTCTGTCAGCCAATCCGTGACAAAGGCAATGGATTGTCACCACAGGTAATAAAATTGGGCCCATAGTATAGCAATATGTGTTAAACAGTTTTCAGAAATTGTTTAATTTCTTGCTTGCATGGACAGGTCCCAGTTAGGAAGCACAGTACCACTTTTCCCAATTAACAGTGCAAATTGTCCCGGAGGCATAGGAATTTACAATTTGACAAAATCAGTTTTGTGACAGCAGGAGTAATCAGTCTGCAGCTTCGCAAGTAGTAATCTATGATCGAAGTAGCAGGATTTTTTTATGAATTATGAAAGGTATGTATGTTATATGAGAGGGACAAACCATTAGTATGATTCTCTCCTTCTTACCACCTTTCTTAAAAAGCTGCTGCTTGATATGGAAGTTGAAATTAGGGAATACACTCTGCTGAGAATGATCTTTCATCACTCCCTACCCTTCCCAATAGTAGTATTCATTTATTTTTCTGTTATATTGCAGTATTCTGACAAGTCCCTGTACACCCAGCTGTGCTTTTACCGGTACATTTTTGATGTGGACTGTGCACTGGAGAAACTTATTACCGATCATGAGAAAGGTACGTTAAAATACTGTAATTACCTTCGAGTTTAAAGTGGAAATTTGCATCATAAAAGCCGGGCCTACTGTGTCAGGCTGTTCACACAGCATCACATTGCTGTCTCAGAAGCAGGTCATGGGGGCCTATATGAACACAGGGATCCCCTGCATGAGGGGCGGTGGCATAGGAATCCCCAGCTTTGGCCCCCATGGCCTGTCTCACATTGTTCTTTATTAAAGCAAGGCTTTGGGGGAGGAACGGTACAAAAAGGACTCTTTAAATGCTATATTTTGAAAATGCTATTTTCTATAGAGTTTAGTAATTGTAATAAAGTAAGCATAGGGAACATGATCATTGGGCCTACAAAAACCAGATATTACCGCAAAAAAATAGACCTGGAGTGTGTCTCTGCTGTTCACTAAAAGCCTAGGTTCATTTTGAAAGAGAGGGATGGGGTGGAGTTCTTTTATTGACTCCATCCAAAGAGAGTGTATGGGCACTGCAGCCCATATGATCAGGTGCTGCCTGGAACCCTCTGCACCTGGCATTTCCTTATACAAGACTTGCAGGCACTGTGGGACTTAATGGGTCTTGGAAAGGCTTTGTTACATAACTTAAAGTATTTGAAAATGCCATGACAAGTGCATGTTTTTTTCTCCTACCTGAAAATCACATTGACAACTTTTCTATTACCTGTAAAAAATAAAAAAGGCAAATTTACACATTTTTCTTATTAGTTACCTACAGAGTGTTTATGTTGTTTGTCAGTGAATATCAATTCAGTGTTTTGTTGGTCGGTTTTAGGGCTGGAGGCATATAAAAACCTACAAATATTGCTGGATTTCTTCACATAATAATCCCCATGCTGCCCTTGATTTGGTCTCACTGTTTTCAATTCCAGCTGTAATTGACTTCTGTTTTTGCATCCACAAGATAGGCTAGAAATTATTTTTTAAAATGCCTTGACTTATGAGGTTTTACTGTCCTTGGATATAAAACATTTTGCAACTGATGGAGAAGCTGCTTCAGATATTAGTATCTTATCTTTAGATTTTCAACAAGGACTTAGGCTATCTCCACAGCATATATTCCATGAATTAGTCAAATTTATATAGAGAAGAAATTTCTTCTGTCATTAATAACTAGATTTTAGAACTTCTATTCCTGGCTAAGGCCCAGCCCATATTTACTTGTAATATCATTTATAGAAATTAAGTACTGATTCTATGATAAATGAATACAATGTCTGTTTCTGTCACGTCTGTTACCTCTTTTGGTTATCAGTATATTAGAACTTGCTCCCCCATAACTTCTTTCTGTATCTAGAGGAGTGATCTGGAAAATCACTGGAGACTTAGCCCAGCTTCTTAGAGAACATCGAGGAATACACATTGCTCCCCGGGAAAATAAGAGGGAATAAACAGCTGCTTGGAAGCCTCTTGCTTGGCTAAAGGGGAGAAGTATTGACAGGACAATGTACACTCTAGGTTTACTATAGCCTTATTTCACAAGTTTAAGAATCGCACACTTTTTTGCTGTTAGCATCTAATAAATACACTACCCAGTGGTTCAGGGCAAAAACAACATTAAGTGAATTATTGATAGGTTCTTTTACATGTCAGAGGGCTAAAGAAAATAAACAACAAGAATACAAATAGTACGTGTCTGACAGAAGGAACTTCACGAAATGTTCCAAGAGCCCTTTTATTTATTGAATTTTACCTATCGAGACTATTTTTCTTTGGGCTTCTTTCTGCTTATTTATTGTCCCTAAATTACAGTTTGGAAATAAGTAAATTAGCTGAAATTTACATGCTTAGGACATTTTCACATCATGTAATAATGCTAAATGGTATAAGGGTATTTGTTAGTAGTGGGATATGAACTGAAACTCTAGGTCTTGCTTACCAGTCGTCCAAGAGCAGAGGTTTCCTAACACATGTCTGGTAAGCTCTCTCCTAAGAATCACCTGGAGCATATTAAAAATCCAAATCCCTGGACCCTATGCCCAGAGATTCTAATTCAGAAGGTGTAGGATAGACTTAGGAAGCTATACTTTTAGAAAATCCCCCCAGATAATTCTGACATGCAGCCAAGTTTGAGAACCCCCTGTCCTGGGTACTCTAAACAGATCAGTAGGATGGTTTCTGAATAAAAGAGAATTGAATGCAGTTGTAGTCCATAAGGAACAAGTGGGGAAATAGAACATTCTCATAGTCCAGAGGAAAGCAATTATAGGGGGAAATTCCATAGATTTAAAATAATGTGACATATCTAAAATTCTTCTCGTTTTATAAATGAGAGTGAAATTATCTCTTCTGATTTGCTATTCAAAGAAGACCTTCTATAAAAATGAATTTAAAATCTTTGGGAACCAGAGGGCAAATATATTTATTCAATTTGGACCAAGGCCAGAACACCAGTGGATGTTAACATCAGAAGTCCTGTGAAAAATGACAGTCATTACACACAGTTATATTATTGAGAATGGAGTCTATGTATCATGTGTCAACAAGTACACTGTAACTGGTGTATGAGGTATTTACAGGAGACACTCCTTTACTGTCAGTACCTAGCAACATTTCCTTCACTAAGATTGTTTTACCATTTCCATTATAAAGCCTACATTTTAAGGGTTGTAACTGGATGGTGGTTTTAATTTTTGTTTGAAACTTGGCAATTTGACTTGGAAAAACACGTACAAATTATTTGAAAGAGGTTTATTTTTACGGTGAAAAGTAGCTCTTGTCAAAGCCTTTTCTGTGCTTTGCTTTCAAATGAAAGTTTACAGGCCATTAGTCCATAATGTGAATTAACCCCGTTTGGTATTTTTCCCTTTCCTTTAAAACGGTAAAGAACTGTTATTCACTTTGGTGAAGTGTTTACTGCATATTCACTATAACTACATAACATTTTTAAAAATTTGGCATTATTATTGTAACTGCACCAGAATGTACACAGATGGCATAATGGATCCAAAAGAGGTTTTAGAGGAACATAGTGGCAATATATGAAATAAAAATCCATTTCCAGGATGGCAGCATGAAATGGTCCCATTTGACCACCTCATCCCGTGGTGTGTTGGCCTGAGTAGGGATAAGTGAACAGTTTAGGGGAAACCTGAGTCACTTCAAATCTTTGCCCAGTTATCTAAATTAAGTTTGCTTAAAAACACAGGAGGAAAAAATGTCTCTTGCTTTTCTCAACTGAACCTTTTTTGTTTATTCAGCAACAGTAAAAACAATATATGTATAGTTTCTATTACGTGCTGAATGCCATCCCTCATTATCAGGAACAAAGGTGGATGGTAAACACTTCTTGCCCTGGAGGAACTCAGGGTCTGTTGGAGAAAGACAGATTCCGCAGCAGCCAAGTATGGTATGGCATGAGTGTCATCACCAATCTGGTCAAATATTAGTTTGGAAACAGAGAGAGAGCACCACTAACTGCCTTTTCACTTAAGTGTATCATCTTTCTTTATTTCTAGAAAGAAACTTGTTTTCTGTTCTGTTCTCTCTTACTAGATGCTTATCTCCTCTTATTCTTTGCAGCTATTTGTAGTAGGGTGGTTTATTACCTTGTTAGGACTGTGATAACAACGTGCCATACAAGGGTGGCTTAAACAACAGAAAAATATTTACTCTCAGTTCTAGAGGCTAGAAGTCCAAGATCAAGGAGTTGGCAGGGTTGATTTCTTCTGAGGCCTCCCTCCTTGACTGGCAGATGGCCATTTTCTCCCAGTGTCTTCACATGGTCTTCCCTTTGTACCTAATCTCTTCTTATGAGGACATCAGTCATTTAAACTTAATTCTTTAAAGGCCCTATCTCAGCCGGGCACAGTGGCTCACACCTATAATCCTAGCACTCTGGGAGGCCTAGGCAGACGGATTGCTGAAGGTCAGGAGTTTGAAACCAGCCTGAGCAAGAGCGAGACGCCGTCTCTACTATAAATAGAAAGAAATTAATTAGCCAACTAATATATGTAGAAAAAATTAGCCGGGCATGGTGGCGCATGCCTGTAGTCCCAGCTACTCGGGAGGCTGAGGCAGGAGGATTGCTTGAGCCCAGGAGTTTGTGGTTGCTGTGAGCTAGGCTGATGCCACAGCACTCACTCTAGCCTGGGCAACACAGCGAGGCTCTGTCTCTAAATAAATAAATAAATAATAAATAAATAAATAAATAAATAAATAAATAAATAAATAAATAAATAAATAAATAAATAAATAAACAAACAAACAAACAAACAAACAAATAAATAAAGGCCCTATCTCCAAATTCTAAGGCACAAGGAAAGGGTTGCACCCTCCTTCCAACCAAGTGAAATCTCACATCCACTTCCGCTCTTGAGTTTACCTGGTTTCTTTTTTTTTTTCCTTAAACTTTTCAGTTTCTTGTTGTGTCTTTTCTTTAGGCCTGATGGTAACCTCTGTAGGCATTTCTTGTTTTCATTAGTGCCACCCAGAACTAGCCTATCCCTTTTGTGAGGTACTTTATGGTTTCCTGCTATCCTTTCACGTGTGAGCACAGGTCTTCACAATAGCCCTGTGAGACAGCAATGGCTTGTGACCGTTATATTGATGAAGAAATTTAGTTATGTAAATAAAAATTTCCTTCCTTTGCTTTCCCATTGCACCTTGTGAGTGCTCTTCTCTTAGTTCTTATCCTGAATTGTCTTATTTTACTTTCTCTTCCAATAAGTTTGCTGAGAGAAAGTGTTGTAGCTTGCTTATCTGTGCTTTGCCCATTGTAGCTAGCTCACTTAAATATTTGGCAAATGAATTCTTAGTGGAAAATAAGGCCACACAAGCAATTTCAAGGATTTTGGAGAAATTAGCCCTAGGAAACAGTTCTGTCCATGAGTAGAAAGCAATGTGAAGTAAAGTTCTAGAACTCCTGTATTCCTTGGCTTGACTCAGGTGTGCCATAAATTAAAGTTTCTAAGGTTCCTTCACATTTGCAGATTTAATGTCTGTCCCTTCAGCTCTTTGCAAGTGATACTGAAGGCAAATGGCATGTTG